ATATGGTAAAATCGGGGGTGTTACAAGTAGAGATTACAAAGGATGAAGAAAATGATTTCGATCTTCTTTATCCAACTAGAGAACTTGGCTTCTTGAACCTTGATATTCACAATTTGAGCAGCACAAGCCTCTAAAATCTGGATGTAATCTTGTTAAACTTGTCTCTCTTTCTCTTCGAACACTAATCTTTAGATAAGAACTCTTGAAAGCTTTAGCACTTGATAATTTTTAAAAAATGGCTAGCTCCTTCGTTAGTTGTAGAATAGGGTATTTATAGGTGAATGAGAAAAGGTCTGTTGGAGGGAAAACCAATTTGCAAACGGCTATGGACTAGCGTGTAGAGACCGGTGGGTAATTGAGAGGGTAGGTGCGAGTGTCAGATTTTCCAGCCGTTAAAGGCTTAAAATGCGCTAAACATAGTTTTTTGTTCTACACAAAATGTCAAGGAATTTAAGGAAATATCTTTCTTGAAATGTGTTCCAATGATTCACTTTTCCTTGGACACATTCGCTCATCATTTTAACGTTTTCGGACTGTTTGCTCAAGCAATATCTTGAGTAGTCCTTTCGAATGGTTAACTAGGTTAATGGTTCGAACCTTAGACCTCTTGGATACGAATCGTTGAGTTTACCACTCGTCCCTTTTTACTCCTCAAAAGGTAGGTCCTTCCTACTCTTTGACCTTTTTAACATTTTTGTTACGAATGGTTGACCTTACCATTCGTTCTTGCAACACTTCGAAAGGTAGACCCTTCCACCACTCGGTGTTTGCAACCTTTCGATCTTGATGTCTTCTACTCTTCGAAACTCCAGTCTTATGATTTTCATCTCGAACCAATTAAGAGTTAACCACTCAGGTTACTCTTCGAATCTATTGTTGAGACTGACCTCTCGAGTTAACATTCTAATGACTTGAATTGTTACAACTCGAGGTACCATTCAGTTAGTTCGAATGTTAAAGCAGAAATGACCTAAGCATATATATATATATATATATATATATATATATATGTATATATATATATACATATATATATATGTATATACATATATATATATACATATATATATATATACATATATATATATATGTATATACATATATATATATATATATATATATGTATATATATATATATGTATATATATATATATATATATGTATATATATATATATATATGTATATATATATATATATGTATATATATATATATATGTATATATATATATATATATGTATATATATATATATATATATATATATATATATATATATATATATATATGGGTTCCCATGCGGTTGAGGGTGTCAGGTGCGGTTGTGCGGTTAAATCTGAGCCATTGATATTGCTTAAATCAACGTTCAGGATTAACAAAATTAAAAAAAAAAATGTGGTGGCAATTTGATAATTTTTGCATCTAGGTCAAATTTAAGGTGCGTGGTTTTCCTTAGCTTCTTAAGGTGCGCGATTTGTGTGCTTAAGGAGCGTGGTTTGTGTGTTTCAGGTGAGTAGTTGTTGAAACTTAAGGTGCATCAACCTGAAGCTTAAGGTGCGTGGTTTCCCTTCTTAAGGTGCATTGTTTTCCTTCTTAAGGTGCATTATTTGTATGCTTAAGGTGTGTGAGTTTTTGAAATTTAAGGTGCGCCATTTTAAAACCATAGGTGCGTGGTTTGTGTCATTAAAGGTGTGTGATTTGTGTACTTAAGATGCGTCGGCCTAAAGCTTTAAGTGCGTGTGGTTTATGTTCTTAAGCTACTTTGTTTGTGTGCTTAAGGTGCGTGATTTTTTTGTGTACTTAAGGTGCACCATTTTAATGCTTAAGGTGCGTCAACTGCACGCCCGCAAGAGAAGCTATACCCGCACGGTCGCAAGAGAAGGGTTCAGGTGCGGGTGATGCTTCCCGTGCAGTTGTGCGATTGGACGCACTTTAAACATTAACATGGCGCACCTTAAGTATACAAATCACCACGCACCTTAACCACAATAGGTTTTGCAAGATCTTCGCATAGAACAGTCAATCTACGAGGGGGAGGAAGAATAGTAAAAGAACGGGACGCATAAGGGAATTTAGATCAATTACCTTGCCTACGGGATGTGCACATGAATCACTCTTATATAAGGAGTATGCTTTCGAGTGAAAGTAGCAATTCCTTTCTCTTCTTCTTTGGATGTCTCAGCAGATTCATTCTGCTGCAAGCCCAGCTCGACTTACGCAATGATCGGAAGAACTCTCACGCACATTAAGCATAAAACCCACGCACATGAAGTACAACCTTCCGCACATTAAGCATTAAACTGGCGTACTTTAAGTATTAACTCACACACCTTATGTTTCAACAACTACTGCCATTTATCACTAACCCCGCGCTCATTAAGCACAGACCCCACGCACATTAAGCACAAACCTCATGTACCTTAAGTTTCAACAACTACTGACATTAATCACTAACCTCACGCACCTTATGCACAACCCTCACGCACCTTAAGCACAAATCACACGCACTTAAGCACAAACCACGCGCATATTAAGTCCAAACCCAAGCACCTTAAATTTACCTAGATGCAAATATTACCAAAATGCCACTGCGTTTCTTAATTTATTTTTGGTAATCTAAACGTTGATTTAAGAAAAATCAATGGTTCTCCTTTCACCGCACAACGCACCTGGCACCCTCAACGGTACAGGAACCCCTTTCTATATATATATATATATATATATATATATATATATATATATATATATATATATATATATATATATATATATATATATATATATATATATATATATATATAGTTGAGTTCAAATGAGGACCACTATATTATAGAGGACCGTGAGGACTGATGTAGTCGTGTGCCATTAGTCTGTATGTCGTGTGCATGGCCGAATGTAGTCGTGTGCCATAATTTGTATGTCGTGTGCATAGGTTTCTTAATTAATAGAGCATGAGTTCGAAACCGGCAGGATGCTTACATGTATTTTTGTATGCCATTGTGTATTAAGTTGTGTGCCTGATACTAATTTATCGTGTGCCCGTAATCAGTCCGCACAGTCCTCTATATATTGTGGTCCTCATGTGAACTCAACCATATATATATATATATATATATATATATATATATATATATATATATATATATATATATATATATATATATATATATATATAGGGAAGGGATCAGGTGCATTTGTGGTTTACCGTGCGGTTGTGCGGTTGATTATTGTATATATATATATAGGGAAGGGATCAGGTGCATTTGTGGTTTCCCATGCGGTTGTGCGGTTGATTATTGTGTGTGTGTTTTATACTTAATGTGCGTGAGTCTTGTGCTTAAATGTGCCTGAGATTTGTACTTAATGTGCGTGAGTGTGTAATGTTAATGTGCGTGAGTTTTATACTTAATGTGCCTGAGTATTGTGCTTAATGCGCGTGAGATTTGTGCTTAATATGCGTGAGTAGTTCAGAATTACGAGCTTAGAAGGAAGTAGAAAAGAAAATTTTCACAGTCTCCTTCTTTTTCACAATCTTTGAAGCTCTCATTACCAGCTTCGCTCTCATTAGCAGCCCCTCAGTATGCAAAGCAAAACAAGACAAAATTCATTTCTCCACCACTTCGAAACAAAAACAAGAAGAAAATGCAGCAGTGGATGCACATAATTTTCACAGCAGTGGATGAAGAACACACTCACGCACATTAAGCACACAACTCACACATCGTAGGCACAAGACTCGCACACCTTAAGTGCAAAACTCACGCACATTAACATTACACATTCACGCACATTAAGTACAAATCTCAGGCACAGTAAACACAATACTCACACACATTGAGTACAAATCTCACGCACATTAATCAACCGCACGGGAAGCATTCAACCGCACATGAACCTTTCACTATATATATATATATATATATATATATATATATATATATATATATATATATATATATATATATATATATATATATATATATATATGTAGGGTAGGGTTCCAATGAGAACATGTGCTTAGGTGAGAACATGAGAACACATCATGTGCATCCATCTAATATTTTTTAATGGTATAGATTAAATTAAGTGTGTGCGAATGCGCATTAAATGTGTGCAAAACACACTTAATCATGTTTGCACACATTTAATGCGCGTTCACACACACTTAATCTAATCTAGACCATTAAAAAATATTAGATGGATGCACACGATTTGTTCTCATGTTCTCACCTAAACAGGTGTTCTCATATGATCTTTTATATATATATATATATATATATATATATATATATATATATATATATATATATATATAACATCGAAGTGCAAGTAAAATTACAAGTGCATGTAAAATGTATTATAGGTGCAAGTAAAATTTACACTAAGCATCAATACAAAGTGCACATATAGTTATAAGTAGTTGCACCTAGGTGCATGAATGTTTGCGGGTGGTTTTTACGGGCACTACTAGCCGCAAGCAAAATTACATGCACTTGTAGGTGAAAGTAGGTGCACCCGATCAATGAATGCAGACAAAAACTACATGCACTTGTAGGCGAAAGTAAGTGCACTTGTAGGTGAAAGTAGGTGCACCCGATCAATGAATGTTGACACGTTAACGTTGCACTTGGTTCGCATTTTTCTTCTAGGCACCTATTCGCACCTGAACGCGGCCATATATATATATATATATATATATATATATATATATATATATATATATATATATATATACAAATTTTGACATTCACAAGTAATCCTATTACAATGAAGATATATAACAACAAAGATTTGGGAGCTTCGAGTTTCTTATCTTACAAAATTGATCATCATCCAAATTTATACAGTACATTTCTTAACAAATTTATATGTATGAGAAAGAAAAACCAATAATAAAGATGCGCATAATTAGCGTCACATTTGTTATTATCTGGTTAGGTATTACGGTATTAGCACCATTTTCCTGACCACTCCGCCAACTGAGATTTCCAAACATGCAGTCCAAACACAAAATCTTGCGACTCCAAAAATTGAGCCATAGACCAGATAATATATTAAACTTATTTCAAAATTCCCCCTCTCATCACATATTAATTACTTTCTCATTCACTCAATTGAATGAAAAAAAAAAAAAAAAAAACCAACAGAAGAAGAAGAAGTTGCATTACATAGAAGAAGACCATAACCAAAGACTAGAAATCTCAGAGTGTAGCCTGATGCAATAATATACTCCATTAATGGCAGATTGGAAGCTTTGTTATAACCCTCATCGTGAAATCCACCATGCACGTACCAATTTAATAAACAAATAAACACCAAATAAATTAACCCTTAGCTTCTTCTTCATACACCATATATTATTTCCTACCATCACCTCACCTCACCACCTTTAGCCGTAATATTTTTCATGCAGAGAAGAGAAGAGAAGAGAAAATGAAGAACAGTTATAATATAGAAAGACGAATTGAAGGGTATCACTTTTTTCCGTCTAGGTCTCGGCTCTCCATTAAAGCCGAGGAGATATAGCTCAACGCCAAAGCGTTTTCGGGGCGGCCGGAAACTATGGCGGAGCCCTGGAACTGGTGCTTGCAGGCATGGCAGGTGATCTGCAAGAGCGTGGAGTTGATTTGCCGGACGGCGTGCTCTCTCAGCGCCTGCGCTTTGTTCAAATCCGCCTGCGCTTGCTGCCGGATCCTCTTGGCGTTCGCGAACTCTTGCTCCGCTAACTCGATCTGCTTCTTCGCCTGCAGCCTCGCCTCCTTTGCGTACGCTTTCTCCTCCATCGCCGCCCTCAGCTGCTCCCGCGCCTCCTCCCTCATCGCCCGGAAGCTCTGTTTCTCGTTCTCCGCCGCCGCCGCCGCCGCCGCTTCGTTCCTCTCGGCGTAGTCCGAGGAGCCGATGGAGAGCTGCAGCTGAGTGGAGTGGTCGGCGTCGTCTATCTTCGACGAAACCGACACGTCTAGCCTACTCGACGACGAGGTTGTCGTCAGGAGTTGAAGCTCTAGGTTGTGATGATGATGAGGATTTCCATTAATGGCGGCGCCGGCGGCGTTACACTCAGTCATCATTTTCGCCCGCACGCCGCCCGCCGGCTTCGACACTATCAGGCTGCTCGCCCACGGCGGAGCGGCGTCGCTCGACGGGCTCGGGCTCGACGCCGTCCGAGAAAGACACGCCGCCGCCGCCTGTGGCGGCAGCGGCTGATCAGATGATCGGAGCCGCCCCAGGCTGCAAGCGTCTTGGTGTTCGATAAAGCTCTCCACCCTAAAACCACCATAAATCATAATTAGCAGAAAACAAAACATTAATTAATAAGAATATTAAAAAAGAATCTGAATGAGGAGAAAATTCTTCTTGACTTGCTGGAAGAAGAATATATGTATCAGAAAAAAAAAATAAAACATTGTACCACAGCCTGTATTATACCTGACCTTTGGAAAATGTGGATTGCTTCCTATATCAGTGAAAAAAAAAAAAAGAAAAAAAAAAAAAGAGAATATATTTTGGCCCCATCACCCCAAAATCAAACCCCATTCCTAAATGTTGCTTCACTTTTCCAAATTCTTTTTTCGAAACTTTTCAAACTCTTTTATTCAACCAGTTTGGTGAAAAAGAAGAAGATCATTTTATTAAAAAAAAAAAAAAATTATCCACAAAATCATAAACAGAAGTTCTTGATTATTATTGTGGAATTATAACATGACTTTAATATAATATTAGAGTATTTAATTGGGGAAAAACTTATGAGTTTAGATTAGGCGTAGTAGTAGGTTGGGTTGAATTATGGAGCCTAGCAAGAAAATTAGGTCCTACCATGGTTGGAATGCAGACTTTTCCCGACATTATAGGAAACATTGGATTTCTTATTTGATTTCTGATTTCTTAGGTGATTCTAATTTTGCCGAACTAATTCTAAACTCACGAATTCTTATTTAATTAAAAGGTGAAGAGAATTCAAGATTTATTAGGAGAAAGAAGAGGTGAAGACCTGGAGAGGACGCGGGGATGAACTAATTCTAAACTCACAAGAACCTATACTTAGATGGTCACAGTTTTACTGAACTAATTCTGAACTTACGAGACCTTATGCTTAGATGATTTCTGTTTTACTGGACTAATTCTAAGCTCATAGGACCCTGTCTCCCGAGGGGGAAGGGAATCGGAGATTTATGAGGTGAGGAGGACCTGGAGAAGACGCGGCCGCAGTCGCAAGAATGGCCGCGGGTGCCGCAGGTTTTGAGGTGGGCTTTGTAGTCGGACTGGACGGCGTAGGCTTTGGAGCATTTGTCGCAAACCCACTGCTTGTGGTTGCTGTGTTTTCGCCGGAAATGCTTCTTGATTCCGACGAGGTCGCCCAGGGCGTGGCACGGGTCGTGGTGGAGGCACGTCGGCTCCGGGCACACGAACACCCGCTTCCGCACCACCGGCGTCTCCCTCTTCAGCAGCTTCCACGGCACCTTGTGCCGCCGCCGGTGCATCTGCAGATTCTGATCCCGCTGGAACCCCTGGTTGCATATCTCGCACACGTACCGATCCGACTCCAACAACGTCTTCGGCGACAAAGATACCACCTCCGCGTCCGGATCTACAAAAAACATAGAATCTCCAACAACGTTTTCGCCCACGAATTCTTAATTAATTTCAGTCACGAATATAATATAATACTACCTGGGGTTCCGGCCGGCCGTCGCTTCCGTTTACTGTTATTAACTCCGGTCTCCGGCGGAGCAAACGGCTGGGAAGATGAAGAAGACGGATTATTATTGCCGTTCAACATGGCAGAAATTGATGTTTCTTGGAATCAAGAAAACCTAAAGGGCTATGAAAATTTTGACATATAAACAGTGGGGGTGATCTAAGAGAGAGCAAGAAGCATGAGGGAGGAAAAAAAGAAGAAAAAAAAAAAAAAAAAAAAAAAGGGAGAAAGAGAGAAAGATAAACAAAGCTCTTTCTTGCTTTCTTTCGGTTATCACCAGCTTTCTTCCTTTCTTTCTTTTAGCTTTTTGATAACTTTCAGCTTTTCATCAGCTTTCTTTCTCTCACACTAATATATATATAGTACCACTTCAGATCATATATACCACCACCAGGTATTATGTTCAACACTACTGCCCCTAATAACCTCCTTCAAAGGATGGGTTAGGGGGATTGAGTGTGGGGTAAGGTAAAGAGGTCACTTCATGTTTATAAGCAAGTCTAGAGACAAGAATTTCATGAGAAGATTTTTAATCAAATGGATCAACACCCACTAAACTTAATCTCATATGTCAATAATTGGATATTAACAAAACACCCTAGGAAACATGTTTTCTTACTCAAATCACCTTTTAATATTATTTATCATCTTTATTTGCTCGTGTTGGGCATGTGGCCTGCTCTGATACCAATTTTCAGATCAAAGGCTAGCTTACCACTACGTCAAAAAGTTGTCAAATTATTTTGTGGTCCAAAGATACACAATTTACATACTAAATATTCACAATTTACTATTTAAAATTTCACAATTTGTGATGACCCTGTATTGTATTCACAAATTCTCAAAACTTAGAAACACAATTTATATTGTAGAAGTTCACAATTCCAATACTAAAAATACACAATTTAGGATACGGGTCCACCTTGCAAGGCGGATCCTGGTCCATGGTATAACAACTACAAAAAGAAATAGCTAGTAATGAATACTCAACTTTATTTTCTTATACCTGTATAACAGTCAGCAGCACATGAAAACAGGATGGTGGACTTGACTCTTCAAGTCGTATTCCAACACACTTAGTGCAACATTTTGATGATATAATACTAGATGGACTTGGCGTTAGCCCTCCAATTCAAGCCACCATCCAACATCATCATAGATGTAATAAAGAATATCATATTTAAAAGAGTCTAGTCAAGAAGTGAATATTATAGTAGGATTGAGGAAATAATTTAAGTAATATCAATTTACTCGATTAAAAATAAATTTTATCAAATACTTTCAATTTTCAGATAACTTTTCAGATCCAAAGGATGAAGGGAATACTCTAGATAAGAATTTTAGGGAGGAGTGGGTTTCGATAAAATCACAATTATCACCCAAACTTGTTATCAACAATTAAGCATCCCCACAAAAGCAAACAAACAAAACAGAAGAATCATCAGTCATGATTTTACGCTACACATACAGTAAAAAAGTAAAAAAATAAAAAAAAAAAAAAAATTCATGGATACATAGACAGGGTCAGGGAAGCAGCATATGTACAATTTACAAGGGTTGCAGATGGGATACATGGTCAAAGGTGAAGGGCATTTGTGTCACATGAGATATATATTAACTTTTGGTAAGCAAGAGCATCAATAAAACAGTGAGTTACCAACAGCAGAATTGTCTTTTGTAAATGACCTGTTCAGGATGGGCCACTGCATTACACCATCAATATAATTAAGCTCATAACACCCCACCACCAACTTGAGTGAATGAAAAAATATTAAAAAAAAAAAAAAATCTTCCCCTGAAATTTATGATCTCACGTTGTGAATATAATATAGTTTATAATTATGAATTTCGATTTATCTGTTGCAAATAATTTCGTGTTACTTAGAGGCTATAGCCATTAGCCTAAAGAAGTTTAAATTAAAATGTGTCATATATTAGAATATTTAATTTGTTTAACATTTTAAAACAAATTACCTTAAAAAAAAAACATTTTAAAACAAATTATTTAATTCATAATTTCAATTATCAATTAGGGTGGACATTGTGTATTGATTTTGGAGATATCCAAATATTATTTTGGATATCTAAAAACTCCTAGTGATTTTTTAAGATCTGATGTCTAAATCAAGTAATGTTATGAATAAGTGTAAACTAGACTTTGATGGTGCGAGTGTAAAATAGAATTAGATTATGAACTCCAAAAATTTTCTTATAAAGTTAGTATATAGTTAGAACTATAAGTTGTCATTGCAAAAATTGATGTAGGATCAAAATACAAGAAAACCTCAACATAGCACAATTTTGGTGGTGACGTATTGCTTATTTCATCAGGCAACAAAGGTTTGAAGTAGTAGAAGTTATTCTACAACAAGACTTTGAAGACAACGTAGTATTTGAGGTCAACAAGAAGAGTTGAGTAGTAGCACAACTTTACCAAGCAGTAAGAGTTTTTCTAGCAGCACTACTATTATGATCCATCAAGAGTTAGGGTTGGGGTTCAACCTTGAAGAATGATGCATCAAGAGATTATAAGCAATAGAAGTCTAAGCAGCATGAGTATAAGAAGTTACATAGGACTCATAGGAGATTACATGAGTAGCAACAAGACCTTCTTGAAGTTTTGAAGAAACAAGACTTTTGGGGACAACACGATATTATGAGAATAAGACTTTTCAAAGTAGCACAAGTTTTCTACAACAGAGGATTCAAGCAACAAAGGTTTGAGAAGTAGCAAAACCTATCAATAGAGACGTTGGCACATTATCCAAGATACGCAATAGAACTTTTCTACAAACATTCGCTATTATTACGAGGACTATAATCATTACTACTTTTAGAGACGTTGGCACATTATCCAAGATAGATATTTGTCTTTTCTTGAAAGCTATTTTAAAAGCTATAAGAAGCTATATTTTGGAAAAAAGTTACATGCATCAGTTGAACAAGGAGTCTAAACTTGTAGAATGCAAGATGATGATTTTAATTTGTTTTCATCAAATGGACAAATTCAAAATCCAGCTATAAATATGTGAAGAATGCTTAAAAGGAAACAATGAGATACATAAGAGATTTTATCAAGCATTCTACAACAACTTTTTACGTCAGTCATCTAATCATTCAAGAGACTTTAAGAGCTTCGAAAAGATCTAGATTCATCTAAGTTTCAATTAGTTGGAGAAATTCTTTCAATTCAACATTTGTATTGAAATCTTGTTGATCGATCTCTAATTTGTGTAGATAGAGGAAGAGTAACAAGCAATTGTGGCTTGTGAAAACCTTAGCAAATATTGTTGGCTTTTTTTTTTTTTTTTTTTTTTTTTTTTATCAAAGTACTTGTTTGTATTTCACCTGTAAATTGTTGAACTAAATTAAACCAATTTACTAGTGAAACTCCTCTAGAAAGTTAAGAGAAGAGTGGAGTAGCACTAGTACAAAAATTATCATAAAAATAAGACAATCTGTGTCTGTTGTTTAAACACCGGATGCGTAAAGTGACGTGTGGCAATTTTTCAATTAAAAGTTCACTATTTAATTATTTTTAAATAATGAACAAGCTGTGTCCAATGTTCTCTAACATCGGATGCAGTAGTCACGACTTTTTTTAAGAAAATTATACTTTATTAATATTAAAACTAATTATTTGATTATTTTGAATTTTTGTGGCATTTGAGGCAAAACCCTACTCAACAAAGGAAGTAGATGAGATTTGTGAGATTTGTGCAAAATATTTTTGTGAATAATGCTTATAATATTTATGTAGGTAAACATGTTGATTAGATAGTGTACGGTGCCATATTATTATATGTTGCTAATGACTAATATAATTATGCTGGAGTGTTGAATGTTTGAACTCTTATTTAGTTCGTTTTAATGATGTGTTGGTACTTATATGTGTTTATTCATTAATTTAGTAGTGTTATGTTGATTGTTAATTATGTCTATTGATAGATCAGTTTGGTGTAGTGTGCAAATTTAAATTCTGAACCTTATTACTTTTTCTGATGGAGATTTAAAACTTATAGAAAAGTGATTGCACGCTTGAAAATCTCATATCCTCACTTCTCTTATACCAGTCATTCCACATATCCAATTTTTTTCCCAACAGTATATCCATTGAATTGGGAAAATTATATCGAAGTTAGAAAAGACTTTTAAGTAGCATTTTTTTCATATTAAAAAGGAATATAAGTTTAGAGTATTAATAATACAATTCAACTTTAATTTTTTTTAAAAGAATTTGAATTGTATAGCATATGAACTCCGTGGCAAATCAAATATCAAAATGAACTTAAAAAAGCTCTGATATATTTGGTAATTACCAATTACCCACACCCTAATTACATGTTATGGAAAAAAAAAAACAAAAAACAAAAAAAAAAAAAAAAAAAAACTCGAGGTTAGTAGCTAGCTAGCCACTGGTAAAGGTAAAGACAACTATTCACAAGCTGGAATGTCAGAGTCCTATGGATTCTGTGGTAACTTCCTAATATAAAACTTAAAAGAAAAAAAAAAGTGAAAAAAATAAATCTCTAAAATTAATTGGATAATTAGGATTTAGGGAAAGGCAGTCAAAAGAAGATTGTTTTGGGAGAAACTAACGTGCTGCCAATTACCATGCATGTGTCTTGCCATCTATTTATTCCCACCAAAGTGTGTTTTAATGTGAGGTATACATAAAGTTCATCAGTAATGTAGTTTTAATTCTTTTCTTTTTTTTTTTTCCTTGTATTATATTTTTCAAAAAGTGATAGATAAAGATTAATTTTTACTTAACTTAATTCTTTTTTTTTTTTCAAATAATGTAATTTTAACTTTCTCATCACGCAATGCGTACCGGCCTTAGTCACATTGAATACCCCTCAAATCTAAACCCATATGGCCATATATATCGATCTTTAACACTAATTAAAAAAAAATATTTTTCAATATTGAATTATATTAAAATAATAATTTTTGTCTCTCAATTATGTCGTTGTCACTTTTTGTTTCTCATTTGTCTACAAATAATTTTTTTGCCATTCAATTATTTTTGAAGTATCTTTTTCAACACGATCCTAATAGAGTTCTAAAAAGAAAAAAAAAAAATTACTTCGCAAAACTATTAAATAAAAATGACAATGAATATAATTAAAGGACAAAAAACTATTTCCATATAATTTAAAGAGGAAAGTGTCATATTTTCCTAATTATATTATAATGCTCTAACATAATATATCAAAA